ATGGGGTCAAATTGAAAATTTTAAAATATATAAAATTCGAATTTGGCCCTAATGACCGGAAGTTAAGCTAGAAACGGGCTAATGGCTCATTAGTGAAAGGATTGTGTAAGTTCAGGGATTTTTGTGAAAGGATTTGAAGTTCAGGTACTACTTCGAAATTCCAGCTAAAGTTCAGGTACCATTTGTGAAATTTACCCTATAGACAGCATATTCCACACAATATCATCTCATTCACTCTTACGTAATTTCCCTATGAAGCAGTTATATCCCTCTTTAGGAGTATAACTACCTTGTATAGACATCCTTTCAAAATCTCTCTTAACTTTAATTATTATTTTTCAATAATACTCCCTCCGTTCTTAAAACACTTCCTCTTTCATTTTTTCTACTTCTAACAAAATATATTAAAAAACCACTTTTACCCTTACTTTTTCATATCCTACCTATCACATCATACTTTTCTCTAATAATCTATTCATCACATCTTACTTTTACTCATCACATCAATGGAAAAATTGGAAGTCAACTATAGTTTAACACTTCTTTATTTTTATATTTGGTCAAACTATGAACCTTTTTTTTAGAACGGAGGGAGTAACAAGCATCAGATTTTGGTTTATAATCCCAAAAGTTGATATTTTTGAGATATCTACTATGAATCTACCGAACTCATGAGTTATCTTTCTTATTAGCTACATCCCAGTTTAGCTCTATAACAAGGGCTTTATTCCACATAACAATATTTTTTAGCCCTATTCTTCCTTGACTTTTAGGTAAACAAATATCTTCCCAACTAACAAGAGTAACCTTTTTGTGGTGTTCAGTAGCACTCCATAGATAGTTACTACATAGGGCTTGGATTCTTTTCATCACTTTACTTGGAATCAGGAATACCCTTGCCCAAAAATTGATGATACCATATAATACTGAGTTGATTAACCCGACCCTACCAGTATAAGATAGATGGTTGGTTTTCTAACTGGTGATTCTTGTTGTGATTTTCTCAATAAGTAAATCTCCATCATCCATGGACATTCTACTAGTAGTGATATGACAACTCAAATATGTAAAATGCAGCGTACCTTTAGGAATGTTAGCACATTCAATTATTTCATTTTTTTCCAATGGGCTCACCCCTACCATCACCATTTGAGATTTGCTGAGGTTAATGGATATCCCAGTAGTGTCCTTGAAATGTGTCAAAGCTCTCAAAATACATTTGATAGACCTCAAATCAGCTTGCATATGATAATCAAATCATGAGCAAAACATATGTTAATGAGTTTAATATCCTTACACATGGGATGATATCTTAGCTTATCCTCCTTTGCAAATTGATCCAAGATTCTTGTAAGGTATTCCATAACCAATAAAAATAGGAGGGGTGATCCTGGATCTTCTTGTTCTATACCTCTGTCTCATTTGAAAAAAACCTTCATTTTCCCATTAATACAAAGAGTGTAGGAAGGGGTCATGATACAGAACAAAATCCATTTTATGAATAGTCTTGCGAACTTAAGATAGATCATAATCTGTTCAATAGCTTTCTAGTATAATTGCATCAGGAGTCTCTTGTTGAATATCAACTATGCATAGTAGAGTCACATGCAGTTGAAGTCTTCTGCTGGATATCAACTATTTTACTTCTTTCACAAGTATAACACGTTGTGCGTGTCTCAAGAGTTACTGTCTTGTGAGGAGAGCTTGTGAAGAGAGAAGTTTCAAAGATAATAGGAAGTAGCAGACACTAGGACTCATTAACCATAGAAACATGTATAAACACAACATTGTGAAATCTCTTGCTGGTTGTGATGACTAACAGGATGCTACAACTTTATTCTAACAAAAGCTATCTATTACAGACTATAAAATATGTGTTGTCAAAAAATAATGTCAACAAGAATTAACAACTCAACTATAAAGTGACAAAGGGAACATAGTAACTAACATTGTTTTTGGTTGAAACAACTTAAAAATCTTGACTAAAGATGCTTTAATGGTGACAAATTTTATGAGGGAGAGGGAGTATGTTTAAAAACAAATAGAACTCGTCTTCGGCGCATATGACTTCTTTTTATTTTGATTGAAGGGGATTTCTTGATTAAAAAACCTTCTTCCCATTCCCTTCCATCAAAAGGCCGGCTCCGCCTTTAACCTTCGCGCCCCCGAGGTACGGCAATGGGGCAAAGCAGCGGGTGGAGGCTGCTGGCCGCCGATTTCGTGATGTCCTTCATGTGGGTATGGTCTAGCGTCCTCATCAAGGTCTTCGTCTACCGATTTTTGGTGTTCGGCCACCACGACCTGGACGGCGAGATCCTCAGGCATGCCCTAGCCGTCGCCGTCATGTTCTTCTTCGCCTTCCTCGGAAAGGTCACCATCGGCGGCGCCTACAATCCCCTCACCGTCTTGGCGTCCTCAATCTCCGGCGATTTCAGTAATTTCATCTTCACAATCGGCGCCAGAATCCCCGCCCAGGTCGGCTCCCCCCTCCCTTCCTCCCTCGATTTCGCTCTAATGCTAAATTGTGGCCATGATTTATTCATAGATATTAATGGCTATTTTCTAAACATTGAACTAAACACCAGAAAAAAGTTTTATTTCTAGAAGTCAGAAATCATTGTCCATAAGCTATTTGCTAGAATTATTGAATCAGTGGTTCTCTGAAAGGTGTGTAAACACCTTCAGATTAAAACTGTTCGTCGGTTTAGACGAATTTATAAATCAGATACAGTTCAGACTATTAACGTACTTAGGGGTAAAATAAGACTTTTATCGTAACAAACTCAACGAAGCGTGCACTCCGCACCACTAAACTTTTTTGATGATTATTATAATAACATTGGTCGAATAGTCTTTCCAATTACACTAAAATATGTCACTATTTCCCATCTTTCGAAACGGATGCTTAATGACTGCTTGATGGAATAACATATCTTCATTTCCTTGCAATTTTAAAGGTGCTTGGGTCGATTGTTGGAGTTAGGCTCATCCTTGACACATTCCCTGACATAGGAAGAGGACCTCAGCTGAAAGTTGACATCCATCAAGGCGCTCTAACGGAAGGATGTTTGACATTTGCCATTGTGATAATCTCACTCGGGCTCTCAAGAAAGATTCCGCCGGGTAGTTTCTTCATGAAGACTTGGATCTCCAGTCTCTCAAAAGTCACCCTTCACGTGCTTGGCTCTGATCTCACTGGGGGGTGTATGAATCCAGCATCTGTAAGTATACCATCCTTACTATTAGTTCATCCCACATTATATTCCAAAGACCATAAACCCACAAACAAACATAGTACAACATTTGGGGTTAATATGACATCAAAGTGATCTGTTTGTTAATGAAGATTTGAGTTTGTTGGAGATGGACTGAAAGTTTAGTTCAAAACAATGTGGATTTGCAGGTGTTAGGTTGGGCTTATGCTCGCGGGGATCATATAACGAAAGAGCATATACAAGTATATTGGATGGCTCCTATCCAAGGCACTCTTTTGGCGGTATGGTCATTTAGGTTGCTATCCCCGCCCCAAAAAGAAGACGATGAAAAAACAAAAGCCAAGAAGTTAGATTGAAGATGTTGTATTGTAATTAGTCTAAGATCAACCATTTAAAGCTTATTACATCTGGAAGGTATTGAAGATCTTGTAATTAGTCTGAAAATTAAACCACTTTAAGCTTATTGTTGCTCAGATTTAGAAAGGGTTTCATTTTTTTCTTCAAATTTCTCGAACCAAACGCAGTGCTAAGAACCTAAGATAGAGATTAGAAAGCTCTCCATCTGGCTATGTCTCCTAAAAAAAGAAGCTAATATCGTGTTTGCCATTACTCCCATTAGCCTACATATATACTTCCTCCATTTTTCAGTATTTGTCTACTTTTGACTTTTTTCAGTTAACATTTATAAACTTTGACCTCAAATTAATTAAAAATGATATTAGATATTGATATTAGACTGGAAAAAGTCAAAATTGGACAAATACTCAAGGACGGATGTAGTATTATATATTAAAGTTATAACAGATACCATACTTAATCTCAGCCAAACAATTGGGATAAAGTATAAGTTTTAACATTTGCATAACCTATGGTCTCTTTCAAATGGGCAATGTGGCCGGGATGCAACCAACAATAACAAATATGAAATCCTAACGCCCAAATTGACATGTCACGTTAAAGTTCATTCCATTTTATTAGCCCATTTTTGGTCGAATGTTAGACCACATTTTATATAAATTTTATAAAAATAATTATGATATGTTCAATATTTTCTACTCCATCCGTCTCAATTATAAGGCAAAAGTAGACCTGGCAAAAGGGCCGGTCAGGTCTGGTTCGGTATAATCGGGTTCGGGTCTAAGAGTGCTTGTTCACGACCCAGAGTTATCGAGTTCGGATTGACCCAACGGGTTAAGAGGCGTATTTAAAAATTAAAATTTTTTCTATTTAGAGATCATGTAATCCGAGCATTATTCAAAACAAAGAACGAAATCATAAGAGTTTGCAATTCTATTTGCAACATATCAAAAGAGAATTGCAATATACCCAAAAAAATCACCTTTTTGCAGCATACCAAAAAAATTGCATTAGATGAAAAAAATTGACGATTCTTTCAACATTCCCAAAAATATATATGCATTATAAAAAAATTGAGATTTTTGCGCCATACCAAAATAAAAGAATTAAATCTTGAGTTACACGTAGGAGCAATTGAAGACGATGAAATAGGATTAAAAATTCCACTATTGATCTTGTGTTTTCTCACCATTTTGATTGAATCAGCATCTAATATCGACGAACGGTGAAAGAACGAACACCAACTGCCAATGCAAAGCTCACCAACTACCAATGCAAAGCTCACCAACTGTCAATGCAAAGCTCACCACTTTTTTTAAATAAAAAAAGTTAAAAAAATAACACCACCACTCAACCACCACTCAACCACCAGTCCACGGCAATAGTGGGGGTTAGCGGTGGTGGTCATTGGTCATGGGCGGTCAAAGTGTAAAGCTCACCAACTATCAATGCAAAGCTCACCAACTGTCAATGGAAAGCTCACCAAGGAACAATGCAAAGCTCACCAACTGTCAATGGAAAGCTCACCAAGGAACAACGCAAAGCTCACAACTTTTTTTTTAAAAAAAAAGCTAATAAAGCAAAGCTCACCACATTACACTACAAAGCTCACCAATGGACAATGCAAAGCTCACCTGGAAATAAAGCAAAGCTCACCACTTTGAACCCCAAAATTCACCTTTTTTTTTTAAATTTTAAAAATTAAAAAATTAATTAAAAATAAAATAACAACACCGGTCAACTACCGGTCAAGGGCGGCGGAGCAGCAGTGGCGGCCGGAGTCCGGCGACGGCGGAGGCGGCCGGCGATGGCGGCGGCGGTCAATGCTGGCAGTCAACAGTCAAAGTCCAGTCAGCACCCTTTCCTTTGATTTTTTTTTTGGAAAAAAATTCAAAGTGTTGAAAAAATATGGTAAACTTTGCCTTATACTTTGGTGAGCTTTATAGTTGTCTTTGGTGAGCTTTGCAGTGACTAGTGGTGAGCTTTGTGTCATCTGACCGAAGCATGTCATCTCGAGCCAATCCATATATATATATATATATATATATACACACACACACACACACACACACACACACACACATACTCCCTCCGTCATATAATGATCTTCCCGGTTCGCAAAACGAAGAAAAATCCCAAGTTTTTTCAATCTATTTTATTTAAATATTGGTATAGAAATAAAAAATAAAACATACATATTTAAAAACTACACCAAAAGTTCAACAAAACAAGTGGTGACAAGAATATTTTATTTTATCATATAGGCCATGAAAAAACACAAATAAATATAAATTCCCGTGAAGTTGGAATAGTGCTCTGGGAAGATCATTATAGGACGGAGGGAGTATATATATATATATATATATACACACACACACTAGCATTTGCACGCGCGTTGCGCGAGATTTAGTGCCCGATCACTATTTTTCCGAAGAATGGTTATGTTATTTTTGTGTAATTTTTTGAATATTTTGTAATAATATTGTGTACGTTCTAATAAACAGTGATTGCAATGATTTTTAACGAATGGCAATAATATGTAAGGAAATAATATACAAAGGAATGAAGTAAAAGTCACATAGCGTTCAAGGGGGGAATGTAATTTATTAACTAATGTCTTAATACAAAGTAGACATGCATAATATACATACAATGGAATGGGGCATACCCCTTTTATACAAAGTTTAGTCATGGTGAACAAAACAAACAAGTAAAGGAAGTGAGTAAGAAGAACGTTAAAACTTTAAAAAGGGATAAGTGAGAAGGA